AATGGAGGAGAAGGGGTTGTGGTGTGGCCATCCCCTCTGCAGTGGGATTTCTTGTTTTCTGTCTCTCTGTCTCTCTGGCAAGCACACATTGCCCTCTAGCAAAAAAAAAAAACAAAAAAAAAAAAATTTTCCTAAAAAAAAAAAAAAAAAAAAAAAAAAAGAATTCTACTAAATAAATTTTTGTGAGCATGAATAATTATTTAGTTTTTGTTAGCTTGCTCCTTTTCTTTTTTTAAATTATTGATTTAATTTTATTTAATTATTTTTACTCTTCAATTTTGACCAGAGAGCGACAGAGAGAAAGAGAGAAGGAAAGTGAGAAAGCAAGCCACTAGGGAACCAGCAGTTAGCGTAATGGCTATGTCGCTGGACTCCCATGTAGTTGACCGCGGTTCGTGTCCCAGACCCGGTGGCTTAAAACTCACGCTGGGCGCGTGTGTGTGCGTGCCCAAGATCCTGAGAGGAGAATGGAGGAGAAGGGATTGCGGCGTGACCATCCCCCCGGGGGGTGATTTTTCGCTTTCTGTCTCTATATCTCTCTCTGTCTGTCTGGCGAGTGCATGCGCCCTATAGTGAAAATGTCTCCAAAAAAAAGAAAGCAAGCCACTAGATCTGGGACTCAAACCATGGTCGACCATCAGTGAGTCCAGCACCTTAACCATCACACCACCTGCCATGCCTTGCTCTCTTTTCTTATTTTAGTACTGCTATGGTCTGAATGGTTGTGTTTCCCCAAAATTCATATGCAGAAATCTTAACCCTCAAGGTGGTGATAGTAGGAAGTAGGGTCTTTGGGAGGAAATGAAGTCATGAGGGCAGAGTTTTCAAGCACAGGATTACTTCCCTTATACCGTAGGCCTAAGGAAGCTTGTTCAGGCCTTCTATCATGTAAAATTACAACCGAAAACTTGACTCATGGACTAGAGTTTGCTGTCATCAGGCACCAGATCTTCTGGCATCTTGATCTTGGACTTCCCAATCTGTGGAACTGTGAGAAATAAATTTCTGTTGGTTTTAAGCTACTTAGTTTATGGTATTTTGTTAATAGCAGTCTAGGCTGAGACAACTTTCTAATGTAATTACTTTTTTTTCAAATTGATTTAAAAGTTTATATATCTGAGGTTTTAGTTTCTCAGGTATTTTTATAAATAATGCACAGATCATTTTACTTTATCAAGCCTCACAAAGGATTGAACATTTTCAGCATGGTCTAGTCTAAATATACTCTGTGGCATAGAAAAAAAGACTTGGAGCTTCCTTGTAAAGGTTAACGGCAAAAATTATTGCTACCACATTTTAATTACAGCATAAGAACCACTTTTTTATTTATTTATTTATTTTATTTTATTTCTTTTTTTTTTTTTTTTAATTTTTTTTGTTATAGGGCAGGGGTGCTCGCCAGCCAGCTGCACTTGCTGGAGAGGTAGCGAGAGAGGGGGGAGAGAGACATAGAGACAGAAAGCGAGAAATCACCCCCCAGGGAGGATGGTCACGCCGCAATCCCTTCTCCTCCATTCTCCTCTCGGGATCTTGGGCACGCACGCACACGTGCCTGGAGTGAGTTTTAAGCAGCCGGGTCTGGGACACGAACCACGGTTGACTACATGGGAGTCCAGTAACATAGCCATTACGCTAACTGCTGGTTCCCAAGAACCACTTTTTATAAACCATTAAATCTAAAATGGTATTTTTCAAGGTGAGTAAGGAAAAGAAAAGGTATGGTATTAGGGAAAATCACATTTATAAGTAAAGTTTTAAAATTTTTAAAGTCACAACTGATACAAATTATTTCTAATAAAATTCAATATAAATAAAATGTGTATTTCCCTAGGCTGTAGGCTAGGACTGAAACTTTGTGATTCTTAACATCTTGCCTCTTTCTATTCCTGAACATTGAGGCTGCCCTTGTGAATCCAGATTCTGCTTCATAGAGGAGAACAAGCTCCTTCATCAGGCCCACTGTCTGGTAGACCAGTGTTCATGATGTCTCTGTTACCTAGGAGGAGGGTCTGCCTCAAGAAATAGTTCTACGTACTGTATGTCAGACTCCAGGTCAGCTGCTGAAGACAGAGTAGTGAACAAGACAGACATGTTCCCTGCCTTTGTGGTTCTCAGTGAGGACCTAGTCTGCAGCTGAACTCAGCTGTGAGATAATTGGTCTCTCCTGGCAGGACAGGAGAACTCTGGTCCCCACTTCCCTACTGTAATCATTCTACCTCAATTAGTAAACTCACATTTTCTATGGTTACATAGCTTAGGTTCTTATTTATTTATTTATTTATTTATTTATTTTAGAGAGAGATTTTTGCTACAGGGCATGTGCGCTTGCCGAAGAGAAAGAGAGTGACAGAGAGACAGAAACTACACCACAGTCCCTTCTCCTCTCAGGATTTTGGGCATGCACGCATACATGCCTCAGATGAGTTTTAAGCTGCCAGGTCTGGGACTTGAACTGTTGTCAACTACGTGTGAGTCCAGCAACATAACCATTATGCCATCTGCTGGTCCCCATAGCTTAGGTTCTTACTCTGGGTCTCTTACTACATAATTTGTTATAGTAATAAATGATATATTTTCAGTAAAGAGTACTTTGAAACTGATTTAGCACCATAATATCAGACTCTGGTTGAGCAGGCAGTAATCTAATTATGTTGTAAATTTCTCTACAATTGAGTTACTGAAGTAGACATTGACTTTTTCTTTCTTGTTTTATAGTTTCTAATGAGGAAACTCAGATCCTAAATATTGGCTTGTGTTGCTTAATTGATACCCATTCACCAAAATGAAATAGAGCTTCAATTGGCTAGAGATCATGACTTATTAAGAAGCAGCTTGTGATAAATGAAAATAGGTTTCCCACACTTATTACCTGAAAATCTTTTAGGACAGTGACCAAGACTTGAAGAAACAAATAATTTGTATATTAAGTGATTACTGTATTAAAATAAAAGTGAATAAAATTAGATTTATCTGTCATCTATTTTATTTGTGAATTTTAAGTCAATGGCTACTTGAGGCCTAAAATAAACCAGGGAAAACATTAGACAAGCTGCCTAAAAAGAAACTGATGGAAGTACCAGTGCAGAAGGGTTCCCTTGGAGCAATGTTTTCTAGAGTCTTCAGAGGATTATTTGCATCAGAGGAACAATCTTTTTTCTTTTAAAAATTATTGGGAACCAGCAGTTAGCGTAATGGTTATGTTACTGGACTCCCACGTAATCGACTGCAGTTCGTGTCCCAGACCCGGCTGCTTAAAACTCACGCCAGGCACGTGTGCGTGCGTGCCCAAGATCCCGAGAGGAGAATGGAGGAGAAGGGATTGCGGCGTGACCATCCTCCCTGGAGGGTGATTTCTCGCTTTCTGTCTCTATGTCTCTCTCTGTCTGTCTGGCGAGCACATGCGCCCTATAGCGAAAACCTCTCCAAAAAAAAAAAAGAATTATTTTATTTGACTTTATTTATTTATTTATTTTAATTTGACCAGAGAGGGACAGACTGAGAGAGAGAAAGAGAGAGGGAAACTGAGAAAGCAAGTTACCAGGTCCAGGACTTGAACTGCAGTTGGCCATGTGAGAATCCAGTGCCCTTAACCACTATGCCACCTGCTGGCTTCTGCATCAGAGTCACTAATGCATAACATCAAAAATGCAGTCTTTGGCCTTATTGAATTCTATAGAATCAGAAACCCTAGAAAGAAGAAAAAGAGAATTTACATTGTTAACCAAGTCTTCTGGTGATTATGGCATGCACTGAGATTTGAGAATTATTATTCTGAACCTAGTCAATACATTTTCCCACCTCTAACTTATATTAAGGGATAATCTCCAAAGTCCTTGACCCTGTTCCCTGTAGAAGATAATGAAACTATTTTCTAGTTGGAAACTGTACTATTCTGTAGATTCTCTCAATCTATCCACAGAGCTGTGGACTCTAGAGAAGGTGTCTCCCACCTTGAGACTATAGGAAGTTTCACCCAGAAACTTATTTACTTGACCTTTACTGAAAGACAGAGTCTCAGGCCCCATTTCAGACCTTCTAGGTTAAGACTTCTGATTATAATATAAAAATCAATTTAAAAAAACCTACAAGTTAATTTTATGTACATATGTGAAAACAATGTTTCATGTAAAGTCTGTATCTCTTAACCTTCAATTAATTTAATCTTCATGAATTCTATGTATTTTTAACATATGAGATCTACTAACCTGGAATGTGACTTCAGAGCTCCCAAAACATGTCTAAGACCAACCCTGGGATTTGGAGAATGACTCTGTAGGAATAAACTATCTCAGTTTCTCTCATCACCTTCGTCTGCTTCTCTCCTCATGTTCATTGAAACAGTTACTCTCTACTGTTCTCTCCACTTGGTACTTTTACATTTCCTGTTTCTTCTCTTACCTGTCTTCTTTATGTGGAATATTTCATCACACCCTGCATAACATGTTTCAGTCGTAAAAATGTTACCAATATCTGCAGACACTTTTTTTGTACTATTGTACTTTCCTCACATTGTAAATTCATTTTGATACTTAGTAAGTCGTACTACAACTAATTATAATAGTTTGAATTTCTGTTTCTCCTTGTAAATAAGGATTTTCCCTGGGACTCAATTTGGATCTTTCCCTCCTCCTATGTCCTATTGTGTTCAGCCAATGCATTCCATGAATGGCTCTCGTCCTACATGTACATCTGAATCAATGCTAGGGTTCCTGTCTCTAAGAGCATGGTTCCACTTCCTCTTGGTTCACTCAGAAGATATCACAGAGATGTCACCTTTCATTTTGATCCTGTCCCCTGTAGCAGGCAATGAAACTATTTCCTAGTTAGGAACTGTACTATTCTTTTGATTCTCTCATTTCTTCACTCTTCCACTGATAGTTTAATTGATTATTTTCTCCAACTAATGCAGAAGTCTTCCCCCAAGACTCTCTGGAGTCTATGTAGAGCATACGAAGGGCAAGTCATTCATACATTTTCTGTGACTCATGTTTTTATTTCAGGTCTTTGCTTGTAGAAGATTGAGGCTCGTGCTTGGAACATGTCTTCACAATCTAAGGAAAACTAGATGAGCAAAACACATTAACCATTTTCAAGACATTATAAAAGATAAGAAATCCCCAAACTTCCAATAAATCATACTGTTACTATTTATAGATGCTCAATTCAAACTAGCAAGTTTATGTTGCTGTTTGTACTTATGATCCATCAGCTATGTGAGAAAAGCAAAAAGCAAAAAAAAAAAAAAAACACAGATGAAACATTGCAATTTATGTATGAAAGTGTGTCTGGCCCTGTGAGACAAAATGATTCAATACCCTGTAATTTTTCCTTTTTGCTTTTTCTTTTTTTAATTTTTACCTGTATATAATACATGGAGTTTTGTTTTGTTCTTGTTTTTCAGTTTCCCTAATAAGCGATCTCATGGAGAACTTTCCCAAATGCCTGTCAATTTTAAATCATGTTTATGCTGGGTTTATAGAACATTAAGATAAATTCTAGATAGCATGATGGAAAGTACACAGATTTTCACTTGGAGACCTCTTGCTTGCTTGCTTGTTATTTATTTATTTATTGGTGAGTTTCATACTATGTGGACATACATTGTCCTAGGCTTAGTTTTATTGGCTATAAACATGGGACAAATTCTAGCAAGCTCTTTTGGAGGTGTTGTATGGGTTAAATTATATGCTGTACATGGGCCCGCCCAACTTTTGTGAGGTTGGTTGATCTTTGCATTCCCATGAGAAAGAAGCCATCATTCCGAACCATATCTGAGAAAGGGCTAGAATCCAATGGCCTTAAGGTTTATCTGAAAAGGTTCATTGCTCTGCTGAATTTTCTTACAAATTTGATCATCATTCAGCATGCTTTTACTTCTCAAGTAGGACAAATTGTTCAGTTAAAATGTCAAACTTCTTTTAGCTATTACTTGAGAATCAAATGCGAGAAAGACTTCATGCTGAACCAACGTGTATTTTCCAGAACACTGACGTTGGTGATTGGAATTGATCTTTCATCTGACTCTAATAAAGGCCTTCTTTGTTTCATAACTGATTCTCACAGTCACAGGAACATCGAATGTCTCTCTCTCTTTTTAATTGTCAGTGTGTGTTCGCTTGTCAGAGAGAGAGAAAAAAAGAACCCCCAATGAAGTGTGTTCACACTACAGTTCATTTTTCCCTATTTCTCTGTCTCCTCGGGATTCACACACACATGCCACCTGTGTTTCTTCAAGCAGCATGCAAGCTGCAGTCAGCCATGTGGGATCCACCTTTCTATGCACAGCACTTAGTGCTGCATGATAGGGCCATTCCCAAGAGTGTCTGTTAAAATAGTTTAAAATTTTTAAAAGCTAGATGAAAATCCAGCTGTCTTTTTCAGTAGCTGATAAATGGTTGCACTTCCTAACCACATTCATTATTTCTTTTGTATAGCCTACTTTTGTTTATATCGGGGGTTACATATATTCAGTGTAGTATAATCTTTAATACACTTAGAAAAAGAATATTGAATTTGAGCAAAAGTGCTATTTTTTTCACTTAAAGCCTATATTAATCTTCTCATGATTTTAATCCTCACAGAGTTTATATATTAAAAAAGCATTTCACAGAGCCCCTTGTATTCTCTTTCACACTTCTTAACAATCTTAAAAGTTCTAAAAATGTATTTCTCTACCATAATAGTCACTCCTCATTGCCAGTTCCTCACCTCACCCATAGGCTCACTTCTCCGTAGAGTTAAATGTTTTTCTTATCTTTATCAATGCTCTCCCTCTAACAGTGACAATTAGTTATACTTTCTTTAGTCCTTAGGGTCACCATTTTCTCCTTTCTTTTATTTGGAATTTCTCTACATTTTTGAATGGTATAATTACATTGTAAATACTTAACCAATGCCTCTGTAGACATAAAGTGTTAATAGCAAGGTGTCAGAGGAGCAAGATGAAAAAAGATTTAACTGTTGTGGGGCCAGACAGTGCTTTAGGACTAAAATACCATGCTCTTTGAGGCTGACTCTGGTGGGAGGATTCTGGATTTGCACTCAGAGACCTTCATGCCCGTGATCCAGGACTGCCTGAACTGGAGGGTGGATTGTCGTTTTGAGACTCTTCCAGGGATTCTCTTTCTTGTTGCCACTTGTGGGATAAATAAACTGTTTTATAAAAAGAAATATTTTAGCTGGCCCCAAAGCACAACCGGTAAGCCCTGGACAGAGGAAGTTGGATCCTGATCTTGGATCTTGACTGACCAGGGTTCAAATCCTGGTCCCAGTGGCATGAAAAATATGCTAGGTGCATGTGTACATGTGCTCCAGATCCTTACAGGATGGAAAATTGGAGGAAAAAGATTGGGCCATGCCCAAGTTTCATTTGCAAGGGGAGTGATTTATCTCTCTCTGTGTTCACGTATATGCCCTCTAGAATTAAAAAAATCATTTTGGGACCAGCAGTTAGCATAATGGCTATGTCCCTGGACTCCCATGTAGTGGACCGCGGTTCGAGTCCCGGACGTGGTGGCTTAAACTCACACCGGGCACGTGTGCGTGCGTGCCCAAGATCCCGAGAGGAGAATGGAGGAGAAGGGACTGTGGCATGGCCATCCCCCCTGAGGGATTATTTCTCACTTTCTGTCTCTCTGTCTCTCTCTCTGTTTTTCTGACCAGTGCACATGCCCTATAGCAAAAACCTCTCAAAAAAATTTTTTTTAAATGTTATGTTATCAGTGATATTTCTGCCAGAAATAATTTTCTAGTCTAAATGATCTCTGGGTACCAGATGAAGCAACCCAAGTAACATCAGATGCATTAATGGCTGGGGACTTTAGATGATGGAAGTCTACTTCCTTTGTTTCTTGTTTGTTGTAGTTCCAGATTCTTGTAGTTTCCTGACTTTCTCCTTTATAATGGCTTATTTAGGAAAGAACGGTAAGAGGGAAAACCAGGCTCCTTCGAAGGAAAATTGGATAGGAGGAGCAGCTCAGTAAGTTGAGGCAATAAATAGGTTAGCACTTCTCTGGTATGCCTGACCCTGAGCCAATAGATTTATTTCAGGAGAAAAAAATCAATCAGGAAGTAGGAACTGATACATTTTAGGTTAAAAGAGTTTAAGAGCTAAATAATTTATAGTGTTATGTGGGTACCTTTTAGTTTGCTATAAAATTATAGAAAGGATGAGCAAAAATCCTCTGTACGTCGTTACGAAGATGTGAGTTAAGGTGTTCTGATAGTTGCAGTCTGAATCCCCCATAGCTGTCAGGCTGCATGGAAGTGGTACATGCAGTGGCAGAGTAATGCCTGGGACACTGACTGGCCACACAGCTTTACTTTTAGTCTTCTAGGCTACGTGTTAGAAAGCGAACATATAGGGGGCTGGCAGGTGGAGTAATAGGTAAAGTGCTAGACTCCCACATGGCTGACTATAGTTCAAGTCCTGGATCTGGCAGCTTGCTTTCTCAACTTCTCTCTCTCTCTCTGTCTCTCTGGTCAAATTTAGAACAATAATAATAATTATTATAATAAATAAAATTAAATAAATATATTTTTTAAAAAGCAGACATATAGCACACCTACTTTCAGGCTGTTTATGCTAACTTCTCGTGGACAAAAGTAAATTACACTTAAAATCTATCGAAATGTTTATGTTGAAATGATTTGTTCTAGAATTGTCTTTGAAAATTGGTAATCATTAAGAATTACATATACAATAGCTGCATGTGAATCAATTAAAAATAATTCAATGCACTGTAACAACTTTCTAATTTTTCTGGTTATGGTAAGTATCAAATTTTCATATCATTGGTATGCAATCAGTTCTTTTTAGAAAAACACATTTATAAAATGCTTATAACTTTTAAGATACCCAGGAGATGGGTAAAAATAAATAAATCCCTGTATTTGTCAACTTAAAATTTTTCAAAACATTATCATAAAAAAAGTAGGGCTCTCTGAAGTAGATGCAGAAATGTTGTTGTGGAATAACAGTAACATTGAGACTTTGTATCTAATTTTTCATCTATAGTAGTGCATAGTGTCATGTTTAGTATCTTTTAATGGGAATTACCTGTGTAAAGATGCTATGATGTAATGCTAGCTACTTCTAAAGGGACATAAACTAATTTCTAGTAAAAGACATTCATATTAAAAATGGTCGTTAAAATATATGACCCAGCTGTGGTAGTACATGCCGGATACTGCTGCTTGGCAGGCTGAGGCCCACATGGGAAACCCAGATTTAGCTCCCAGTCACAATGGTGCTAGCCTGTAGTCCCAACTACTTAGGATGCTAAGGCTGGAGGATCAAGACCCTTCTAAAAAGCTGCACACACACACACAAGCAGTTAAAATATGAGACTGCACCTGTACTTTGTTGAGAGCTAAATTAGTGCTTCTGACTATTTTTGGGGGGTAGGCAGGTCTGTACTTAATAACAACCAAAGTAAAAGCTATAGGGCAGGTTTTATCATCTAGTTTTATTATTTTTTTTAAAATTTGCCAGAGGGCACATGTGCTTGCCAGTGAGAAAGAGAAAATGAGAAGTAGAAAGCACCTCCCAGTGGGGTGTGGTCACGTTGTGATCACTTCTCCATTACTTCTGTCCTGTCAGGATTTCAGGCATGTATACACATGTGCCTAGAATGTCTTTCAATGGGCCAGGGCTGGGATTTAAACTCCATGGTTGGCAACATGGACTCTGACTTCTCTTAATCATTAAGTCACAGGGTTGGCCCTAAAATTAATTTTCAAATAAAAGAAAAACTCAACCTTTGGGAAAAATTTTTTTTTCTCATTCTGTAGCCTATAAAATATATCACATGAGATCTTATCTAGGACACATGCAGAATATCAGTCATATTTCCAAAGGAATTCAATAGCAAATATAAAGTTTTTAATGTTATTACACTTAAACTGAGATTTTCCTACAAAATATTGAATTATTAATAATAGCTTTTCTTTTTAAAACATATTATTTAATTTTATCTTATTAAAAATTTTTGACTATCTAATTTATTTATTATTATTGTTGTTGTTTTTTGATTTGTCCAGAGAGACAGATACATAGAGAGGGAGAGAGAGAAAGTGAGAAAGCAAGACTTCAGGTCCAGGACTTGAACTGTGGTCG